ATTAGTTTATCTATAAATATACTAAAAATATTATTGATATTAATTTATCAGTAATATTATAAAAATAATAATATATAAATTTTATTTATTTATTAATAATAAATATATATTATTTGATACATTGAAGAAAATTATAATATGTGTTAACTTGAATAGACAAATAATTGTATAATTTTAAAACATTATATATATATATATATATTAAAATTATTAAATTTTTAATTGGAGAGACTAAAATCGCACAATTATGATATTTGAGGGACTAAAATTGTTCAATTAAAAATTGAAGGACCAAAATCACACAATTACAATCTTTTAGGGACTAAAATTACCCAATTAAAACTTTGAGGATCAAAATTACACAATTGTAATACTCGAGGGATCAAAAACGTAATTAAGCCTTATAATTTTTACAAATGCTACATTTAATTCAACAATATATATTATATATCATTATAATTTATATTTATATTTTTTAATAATATATTAACATATATATATATATATATATAATATTTATAGTGTAGATAAAATTAATTTTTAGTGATAATTATTATGTCATTGCAGAGTGTGTTACTACATAATAATTTTTTGACAATGTGCAACAGAATATAAATAAAACTAAGGTATTTTTATCATTTCAAATACATTAAAACACCTTCCACTTGTTTACTGTTTTTTTTTTCTTACTTATATTTTTGGTTCATCATCTTAATTTTTACATTCATTTTAATTTATTATTTATTAAATACGTTTAACTTGCTCCTTTATTTTTTATTTTTAGACCAATTTGATCATTTTAAAACAATAATTATTATTAATTTTGTGACACAATTTTGGATGATTTTTTTACGACTTCAAGATATAAAATTTGTAACATTATTTTTATCCATATATATGAAAACAACGAAATCCAATTAATGTTCAAATTTAAAAAAACTTATAAACATAATAAAAATTATATGAAAAATATTTCAAAAATAATGTTTAAAATATTTTGTGATTTAAAAATTTAGTTACGTTCAACAATTTTCATATAAAGTGAATCTAATGAGCCAAAATTCAAGTATTGAGTTAATAAAAAAATTAAAAATTGTGTCTCAAAATTTTTTAAAAATAATTAGTTTCAAAAATAATTAAATCAATCTAAATTTAAAAGATAAAAGATAAAAGATCAAATAAAACATTTTAAAAGATACAAAACTAAAATAGATCATTAAAAAGATAAAGGACCAAAATTATAATTTATTTTTATTTATTTAAAAAATAATATGCCTATGTTTTTAACTTGCTTAATTAAATTTAAGTCAAACTAAACATTTCTCCATCATATAAATAAAAAAAACTAAGTTGGGCGTTTGGTTCATTTATTATATGAAATTCACAATTTTGGTTCTTTATTTTTAAATTCCTAATTTTAGTCTCTCAATTTTATAAAGTCTATAAATTTTGATCCCCTCATTAAATTGGTGCTCATTTGTCCATTGTTAAAATTATAACATTAATCATGATTTGATATTAAATAGAAGATATAATAATTAATATTTAGGTTAAATTTAACTTTTAGTTCTCATTTTTATCTCATAAAAATGGTAAAATGAGATAAGGATGAGATAAAAACAAGAGCTAAAAGTATAATCTAGCTTAAATATTATAATTAAATGTTAATTATTGTGTCATGTTAGGTCATAAACTGTTACAATTTTAACTATTAACGGATGAACATTTAATAAAAAATTAAAATTATAACTTTATAAAAATGAAGGATTGAAATTGTGGATTTAAAAATAAAATAACTAAAATTACAAATATGATATTATAGAGAGATTAAAAGTACAATTTAACCAAACAGAAATTATTTAAATTTTTGAACTCAAATATATATTTTTTTTAATCAAATCATCTTTATTTAATATTTTTAATCAAAAAAGACTCCTAAAACAATAATGAGAACACTATTTATACTAAATATGAAAAAGTATTTTAAAAAATGTAACATATCTTATATAAAATCATGAAAATTGAATATATTTATCTAATAATTTTTTTAACCACCTTTCTAAATGCCGAATTGGTTAATGTCTACAATTAATTATGCTTATCGTATGATACTAATATTAAATACTCCTTTCGAATTTAATTACAAACAAATTTATATAATTTTTATATTGATTATGAAATTTAGTTAATATTATCTAATTTTGTTAATCTCAATTAAAATTATTTTTCTTATTTTATCTTTCATTAACTTGATATTAAGAATAAAAAAGTCATTAAAAATAAAATTTCAATTACATGATGAGTATTTTGGAGATAGTAACATTAAATAAGATTTAGGGTTTAACTTAATTCACATGTACATTTTAATTACATTCCATGATTAAAAATGAATTTTACCAAACTTTGAAATAAGGAGTGCATTGTATGAAGGAATGTTTAAGAAGTTCCTAAAATATATGAGCGATGAATTAACCAGAAAGTGAAGAACACTCCATATTATAGGTTGGACAAAAATGTTCCAACATATGTGCACTCTCCATGTGATAATAAACTCATAGTTCTGGTGAACTCTAATACTTATCTAATAATGCTCTCATGTCACTATCGGACTCTTTTTTTCTTTATCAAGTGTGCTCCAATAAGTTCATTTTTTCTTATCACTACAAGCATTGTTGCAGAATGCAGACTGTAGGAGGCATCGCAGAATCGTCAACGACGGAATGCATGAGTCGTAAACTGGTGGGGTCTTGTCCCTAACAAAAATGAGTTTTATTAATCATGTACCTAATAGATCATGACTACACCTGTTCCAATATGTTGCACACAAAATCAATGAATGAACAATGAAGAGCTTCACACCGTACCTGGGTGCGTCGCTGTTCACAATCCTTGCTTTGCGACCATTGTCTGAGGCTATTTTTTCGCTAACCATATGCTAACGTTGTCACCACTTGTTTGTCATTTGTTTGGAGCATTCGAGGTGCTCATATTCTACAATCATTCCC